GCTGCATTCCCAGGTCTCCCAAACCCAGAGCACTGTGTAGAGGATCTTCTAGCTGCAAACGGGCTCAGCAACAGGGGGCAAGAACAGTGCTCTGGCCTTGAGGGACATGGATCAGAGGAATGAATAGAGGCACGTTACACCCTTGAGAACGTAGAAGAACTTTGATTAACCACAGTTGTACTGTAATGTCTGCCTGCATTATAGCTGATAAATGTCTGAAGAACTCCTGTTGCCACTTTTCACTTTTAGACCATGTCCCTCTTTTGCAAGAAATATACTCTTATGTCCTGAGGCAATAAGTCATTTAAGTGAAGTGGATAGGGACTGCTCCCACTCTCATGTAATATGCAAGGGTAACTGAGTCAGCTGCCTTCTAAAGCTCTGGGGTTTGTCTCCCAAACCAGATATGAACTGATTATTTCAGTGTGCTTTTTCGCTTGTTGCCATGCTAAGGAAATATTCCTGGATTAATATTGTAGTTAGTACCACTGAACAGTGACCTAGCTGGGCACCTCACTACATAAGGCCATGTTGGTGTGTCGAATCTGTGCTGTTTGTAACGGTGTTGTCTAGTGGCTCATGTTGCATTTTGCATCGGTGCGATTTCTTTGCCACAGTCCTGTGTTGACAGTGTGTGTCCGTTTTCAGGGAACGGATGGAGTGGAGTATTTATTAATTCCTGTAGACAACGGGACCTTGACTGATTTTTTAGAAAAAGAGGATGAAGACATGTGAATCCTCTCCAATCCCAAACCATCTACACCAACTGCTATCAAGGGATGCTGGAGAGGGGTCTGAACTCGGATCGCTCTCCCTTCGACCATGGGCTACTGGACCACTTAATGAAATGTGACACTTTCCAAGTCTGGTGTTCTAATTACTTGAGTAGTTCTGGGTAGAGTTCCATATGCAAGACATATCTTACTCTTGAGTTTAGATTTGTATTCTTTTAGTCTTCCAGCTCACGTGATGCCTTCTTCATATCTATGCAGCCACTTTTACAGACTAGGAAAACTAACTCTTCAGTAAGATTGTGCCTTCTGCTCATTACCTCTCTGCAGAGGAAGGTTTGGCTGGAGCAGTTCACTTGAGGAATGCAATGACTCCATGCTCAGAGCTTTATTTTGTACTAGAGTAGTAATTTTTCACAGCTCAGTGCTTTCCAGTACTCCCCACCTTGGTCAAGCCGATAGGCTCCTAGTGTGTGAAGTTGCTGAGATTTTAGAATGCCAAGTGATCTACATTGAGTGGTCAAGTCAGGTGGAGTGGAATAAAAGTGGAACACAAAAAACAAGGGGTTGGAATGTTGTGGGTAACTTATTAAACCTTCCCTCTTTGCTGAAATCTTGACAGTAGAATAGAGGAGCTTTCCCAAAATCCAAATCTTTTTACAAGGGGGAATCTGTATTGAAAATTGTGACTGGGAAGGGCTCTAAAGTGACCTGTAATGGGAGGGAAGGAAAAACAATGTGACTTTTTCCTGCTTTATGGTATGTACAGAAGGCTATAAAGTATTTTTTTTAAATCAGGGATGTCCAAGTTGGCTTTCCTGGAGAACTTCTGGAGGTCCTGAATAGAAGATAAGTTCAACAAAGATCACTTTTCTCCATGGTATTTTTTAGGCATTTGCACTACATTAAAATTTATTTTTTTATGTTCCAACAGTCTGCATAAGAATAACGTCCAGTGTTGTTTCACCTGCATGATTTATCTGTTCTAGTCTACCAGTTCTCCAGTATCTATAGTGCCTTCTAGGAAAACCAGAGACTCTATCTGAATTTCTAATGTAGAAGAAGAAATGTGGTTAATATGGGAGTGTAAGGGTACTTTGGCGCCTTCTCCATATATCAGAAAGAAAGAGGCACAGATGTAGGTTTTTTTTCCTTTGCAGGTCACCTTTAGGCTCTGCAGTTCTATCACCTACATAAAACGATCTGCCAGTCAGACTTCAGGGACACTTGAACTTATTGCCTAATCTTGTGGCAATCCATCTTATAAATGACTGTTTTGAATGACAGATTGTTAAATAAACTTTTATTCATGTTCTCTAGTTCTCTCACAGATCTCCTGGTGTATAGATGACAGAAACCCCATTTTCATTATTGCCTACACTATAGCAGATGACACAATGCATGGCTGCCTTAAGAAGTGGATTTAAAATCACAATTCATCCATATGTTCTCAGGACCTTATGTTTCTGAAAATCCAAAGGGAAGTCTACCCCCTTTTACTACTAATACTTAACATTTACAAACATCACAATGGGGAACTGAGGCAGAGATTGTGACTTACCTGAGGTCTCCAAAGGAGTATCAGCTGGGGCTAGACCTCAGAACTCCTGGTAGTGACTCCCATCTAAGCAGGGGAGGGAGGGACTTCTTTTTAGTGCCCATCACATACTCAGTCCTGTGCTTAGACCACTTGATGCTCAGGTTACTGTAGAACTGAAAACTGAACTGAATTCTATTTTGGAGGGACATAATTCAGTGCTGTACACAACCCCCACCCCTTATTATTAAAGATAGAGGTGGAACTATGTGCTTTCAGTGGAGTTAAGTATCAGCTGTTTTTTGCTAGATTTGAAACTCACTCGGACTAAGCACTGTGGTGCTGTAATACCCCTAACCTTTCAATTGATTCAGATTTTTTTATGTCAGGAGTGAGGCAACCTTTTCAGACCAGCTGCATGGCTTCCTGGGATGATGTGCATTTCTGCTAACAGACAGGTGTGGGTCTGTGAGAGAGAATCTGTTCTTGCCTCATGCAGGCTCAGGTAAATTATCCCTGCAGTATGTCTAAATTTGAGCCTCTCAAAACAATTAAATGACTGCCTAAGCTGTGCATTAATTTCCTGTCACTTAATGGCTGCCCGTTTAGTACCTACTGCAATACAGAATTAATTTCTAGGTTTTTTGGGATCAATTCTGCACCCATTGACTTTGAATGAAGGACCCACTCCTACTTTAATAATCTTAATTCCCCTTCCTGCTTTGTGGGGTCCAGGGGCTCTGCATTTTTATTTAATTTTAAATGAAGCTTCTTAAACATTTTAAAAACCTTGTTTACTTTAGATACCAACAATAGTTTAGTTCTATATTATAGACTTATAGAAAGAGACCATCTAAAAACATTAAAATGTATTACTGGCACGTGAAACCTTAAATTAGAGTGAATAAATGAAGACTCAGGTACACCACTTCTGAAAGGCTGCCGACCCCTGGTCTATATGACACAGCCGAGCCTGCTGCAATACTGCATAATGCAATAATTGTTTCATTTACCTAAAGAAAGTTCAGGAAAAAATAAGCTTCAGAAAACATTTTACTAATGATTAAATGAGTGCTTTGGTTAGAGGGCAGAAACTCTTTAACCACATGCTTCCACTTCTCTTTAAGTGAAGATTCCTGGCTAAATCCCTCACATGACTTGAGCATACATGGTAAGTCTATGTATTCAGACTGCTCACAGGCACACTACAGTGGCCTAATACCAAGAATGGACTTCTAACCAATGTGGGCTGGCAGGGCCTAGTGAACTGGATTGTGCAAGGTCTAGGCTCGAGGAAATTAACATTAAAGGGAATTGTATGTAAACTGGGTCAGTGAAGTTTCTTCAGAGCCTCAAACAAAGGCGATGCGTATGACAATATTCAAACTATGTATGAGGAAGGTCCTGATTGGATCTTTAAAGCCACTGGCCATGGTAGGGATGCTGTATTACAAGTGGAGCACCTGCAGCTAGTGTTATGAAAGCAGGCACATTGCACAGGGAAAGCTTAGTCTGTGGGATTTCCATGGAAAATGCAGTAGGCACCTCTGCTGCCTTGTGAAGAGGGTCATGATCCCCAATTACCCCTCCCTGCCTAGTTTGCAGAGTCTAGTGCTAGTGGCCATCTTTTTGCTGCACTAAGCACTAGTCTCTATTTTCTGAGGACATTAAAATCATTCTGGCTTAGCAGGATCTGCAGCTGTGTTTGAATTCCAACTCCACTGCTCAAAGTCACATTTCACTATTCCCATGTGTGAGAATTCTTGGGTAGGTGGCTTTTAAAAGGGTGAAAATAAGTGACCCGTATTTACCAGAACTGTTTCCAGCTTCAGGGAAGTGGAATGAGCCTAAGTGTCAGCTTCCTGCCATAGAAAGAAAGGATAGCAGGAGAGGCTTAGTGCTGGTTGGAGGCATTCACTCTTCATCTTCCCTGCTGTCATGATACTGGGTGGTTTTAATTCAAAACCCTACTACTGGACATAGGATTGCACAAGAAAGCTCAATTGTCATTTAAAAAAAAGGTATTTAGCCTTCATGGTTGCTGAGATAAGCTTCAAAACATGAAGCAACTGTACGGTAAAAGCTCAAACCAGCATGCAATCAGAACCTACATGTATTTATAAAAAAAAAAAACAACCTCCAAACACTCCATTTCTTAGTGCTTAGGAATACAATCTTCGACTCAGGTGGTATCTATTGATCCAGCCTTGAAGATCTATAAATCATCAGGCACCTCCAAAACACACACAGCTATGTTTCTCCTATGCTACCCTGACTGCTTCCTGATCCAATTCCTTACCCTCTCAAACAACTTTAACTCCAACAGAAGATTATTTTTACTAAGTCTAGTCTCTTACATGCACTAAACAAGGATGTGTCCATTTTAATTTAAAGTCTTGGAAACATTTTTAGTTTGAATATCAATATCTCCCTGCTTGTCTACAGTCCAAACATATGAAACCCGAAGAGTTTCCTTTCATTTTCAAAGCTTTACTGAACTATAAAGTAAATGCTCAACATTTATGGTGAAAAATAGACATTACTTCACTGTAGGCAATCCTGCAGTGTTAGTAGCATAGGTAAAGAAATCTGCTTTTTAAAGATGAGACAAATTGAAACGGATACTTATGTATAATGAAGTTAAAGGAACAAGTTGGAATTTCCCAATTCTTGTGCATAGAAGAACCTTAATGCAACATCAAAGATTACATATTAGTACCAAATGCAAAAAATTTGTTCCACATTTTTTATTCAGTTTGCTGTGCATTAGCAGTATTTAGAGTCAACAATCTGTAAATAGTTAATGAAATGTTAACAGGAGTTCCACTCCCTAAATATAAGTCACTTTTGTACTAATGATTAGGGACATATTCTAGTACTGGTGGGGCTATGAAACCAAGCTACAGAGGCTTGATGTTACCAATCTATATTGTTCTTGCTGGATTACTCGGTTAGTCTCATTATCCCATCCCTACTAAATACAGCAAGTAGTAAACTTAAGGAAATAGTTTTTCAGCCCAAAATTAACATTCTTCTTTACCTGACAGATATTTTACCTCTCCCACACTTTGGGGAATGTATTGTACAGTTATTTGGGACTGCACCAGTTCAGAGCATCTTAATCAAATTTGCACGTGCATTAAGTCTGTGTGGGACACAAACTCTGGACTCCATGCTGCAACCCTTGCTTTCTTCTATACCACCCGAAGAGGGTCTCTGTCGCTCTCTGACACAATGATGGTGATCTTATTCTCTAAGTGTGTAGCCAGCATATCTCGCAGCTCTGACAGAAAGCCTCGCTCAGTGTTACTGTGCTCACACAGAATCACACTTATCCCTTTGGCAACAGCATCCAGTACTTCATGGTGGGACATCTCTCCTGCCATAATGAGAAGAGATACCATGTAGATTAGCCATTTAGACCTGGATAATTTTGTAGTTCATTATAAGTAATATATTTTAAAAGTCTCTGCTCTTGTGGAAGAGTAGTGTTGCAAAAATGCTATGTTGTTTCATTTTCTAGAATACAGTTCTATAGAGAACTATGGAAATACATTTCCCTCAAAAGGAGAAATGTGGTGCAGATTGTGATAGACTCCACCACTGTACAAGAGAGTGCTCTTTTTAAAGAATTCATGAATGTTAACTTTACAGAATTATTTACTTCAAATGATCTCAAACACTCCATTACATAAAATTTAAGAGTATTTACCCCCACAATCCCCACCTCTGCAGGAATTTTTGCTCTTACTATTTTTCCCCTCACTTCCACCCAGTGGAGACTTATTTTTAAATTAACATTCTCAATAGTACACTAATAGTCTGATGTAGTTTTCTAACACATCTGCCCTTAGCACTAATAGAGTTATTTTTAAAAATGTTTAACTTTCAGTGTGTTATATAATCCATCTACATGGAGGGCCCTCACTCCTAAAGCACAGGTGCCGGCCTGGGGCAGCACCACCACCATTGTGTCTCTACCTCAGTTTCCCCTAGTGGACTTCAGAAGTCCAGTGAAGCTTATGTATACTGAACAGTGCTCCTTCAGGGTCTAGTTTATTTAACCCACAGCTGGAACTTTTGTACAAATTCCCCCAGCATCTCTAGCTGGAAGGGGAGGGGAGGGGCTGAGTGAAGTGGAGTTGATGGACTAAGGTTATGTCCAGGTCCCTTACCAGCAAGGCTCTCTTGACCCAGAACCCTCTTCTGGAGCCACAGCTTCTTATTAGCTGGGGTGAAGTTACCCTATGACATCATTCCAAGTGAGTCTGCGTTACTATGTAGTTCTTTGTCAACAATAATAGTTACATTTTAGCATTATACACAGTATTTTAGATTGTCATACAATGGCTGAAATTATCTTTCCCAGACGCTATCCAGAGACCTCCTGAGGATTTAGCCAATGAGGAACTTTTTCTACCTCCAGAGGTTAGAGCTTGAATTTACACAGCGTCTTTCAGACACCAAGTATCCCACTGTACCATTTAAAGCAATATTAGATACTGGAAGTGCAGTGACTATGTGCAAACACACCAGACAGTTTGCTTTTCACACAGCACTGGCTGTTAAAGGCTGTCTTGCTTATGTGATAGAATTGCCTTTCTGTATGTCTGCAGAGCACCTACCACATTTTAGGCACTAATGTAATACCAGTAATTCTAGCAGATGTTTTGAAATGTTTAACTGAAAAGTGTGTTAGAACAACGTGACATGTTCCACAAGGTGCATCTTTTGGTTTGGATTTTGTGCTGGGAGATCCGGGTTGGAAGAATGAAGGTGAGTTGCCGAGCCTTAGGAATGTGGAGCTACACCGTCCAAAAGGTGGTGGGTTTCCAGGTTTACAAGTTAAAACTTAATAGCTAGATCTAATGGTAGGAAGATCTAGTTGTAACCTGAAGGGAGGAGAGGTTCCATGTCCATCTGGCAGAATCCTCCTAACTTCTTCCACAACACCAATACAGTCACCTACTTATCTCAGTGTGAACTGCTCACATGTAGGAAGAACAGGTTGTAAGGATGCTGGAATTGAAGCTGGGAACCAGTGTGGCAGAAAGACATGATTTTTAAATTAGACACACACAACCAACAAATGAACATCCAGCTAATGAAACATATGGCTAGCCTCACGCTGATCATGTCACTTCCCCCACTCTTCACTTTTCTTTTTAGAATGGAAGCTCTTTGGGGTTGTAGACTGTCTTCCTCTCACATTTTGGGAGCTACTGCAATCTAGATTATAGCCACCTCCTAAAGAAAAATGCTATGTTAAGAATCTTAGCATAGGATTAAGTTTTTACTGTAGGTCTCCTCCTAGATTTAGTCCCTGAACTTTGCAATTAACTGCACCATGTGGAGCTCCTTTTAAGTCAACAGGGCTCCACGCAGGCCTGCACCCATGTGCCTTCAGTTGCAATATTGGAGCCTTGTTTTTGCTATTTATTTCTTAAATTTAGATATTTCAAAAGCCCATCTAATTTTATTCTTAATGATTAGAAAGTCGTAGCCCAAAATTTTGTTAGACTTAAATTGTTTGCATGTATATACATCTAATACAAGCATCTGCACTATAATAGGATGACTGACAAATTCCCCATGGACACTGGGCTACAATCTTGAACAGAAAGTTTCCTACATTTGACATTTTTATCAGGTTACCAGGTGTTCAGTCTAGCAATGGACCTGCATTGTTGCTTGTAGGATTTATTTGTTCTTTTAGTAACTGATTCCTTGCCTTTTGCAATTATACCAAATTATTCTTCACAGCTGGATTCCTCAGCAACCAATCAGAGTGCTCTTTCTAGTGACCATTTTATAAAGATAAGTATGGAACAAGAAGTCTCATACCAGTGAGATAGAGGTCGGCTTCCACACCCTGCAGGACACTGTTCCCAGAGCCAGCACACACAGCAGCCACCTTCACGTTGGCTTCTGCAAGACAGCAAGGGCCACAATTAAACTCCCTTCCTACCCCTCAGCCTTGATGCCAGCTTCAGTACAGATAAATGCAGTGCTAACCCATGTCTTGCTCTTACGCCCAATGGAAATTTGTTGGGTGCTGGGAGGGGATGTTAGTTTGGAGGAGGCGTATGGGCCACTAACTTATCTGGGAATGCAGCAAAAACCCATGGTCATTGTAAACTAGTGATGGATGGACAGCTCCTCCTCACTAGCAGGAACCTTCTCCAGTTGATGTGCGGAGAAGAGAGGAAATGTTTTCAGGACATTGCTACACAGTGGCTGGTTGTTGACCACTGCAGCTTAGTTTTCACCTGTTGAAGTGTCTTAGAAGTAATGAATAAAATGATCTCGTATGTATATGGTAAGAACAATTAATCTATTCCCCCATCACGCACACCATGTTCAATGAAAACAAAATGTTTTGGGTGACAAAAGAATTTTCAAGATTTTAACACGCCTGTGCATCACCTTATGAATAATCATCCAACTTCTGCTGACTTAAGTAGGAGTCCTAGGATTACAGTCTAAGCCAGTGGTTTTCAAAGTGCGGGTCGCGACCCAGTACTGGATCACGGTATGTAATGCACTGGGTCGTAGCGGCTCTGGTCAGCACCGCCAACTGGGCCGTTAAAAGTCCCATTGGCGGTGCCTCCCAGCTAAAGCAGGCTAGTTCCTACCTGTTCTGACACCGCGCTGCACCCTGGAAGAGGCCAGCAGCAGGTCCAGTTCCTAGGTGGGGGACTACGAACTCTGTGCATTGCCTCCACCCCGAGCATCGGCTCTGAATTCCCCTTGGCCGGGAACCAGCCAATGGGAGCTTGGGGGGCGGTGCCTGTGGGCAAGAGCCGGACCTGCTGCTGGCCATTTCCGGGGTGCAGCGCGTCCCAGGAGAGGCAGGAAGCCTGCATTAGCACCTCTGCTGTGCCGCTGACTAGGAGATGCACAAGATGCACTACGACCCATGTCCCAATACCCTACCCCAGCCCCGAGCCCCTCCAAACCCAGAGCCCCTTCCTGCACCCAGAGCTCTGACCCCCTCCTGCGCCCCAGCCCTGAGCCCACCCAAACCTGGAGCCCCCTCCTGCATCCCAACCCCCTGCACCCACACCCTGAACCCCTCATTCCCAGCCCCACTCCACAGCCCTCACCCCTGCACCCCAACCCTCTGCCCGAGGCTGGAGCCCCTCCCACACCCCAAACCCCTCATCCCCAGCTCCACTGGGTCATGGGCATCAACAATTTTCTTTTACTGGGTCACCAGAAAAAAGTTTGAAAACCACTGGTCTACAGAACACTGAACTAGGGGCTTTAAAACACTGAGCATGGTTTGGGAACACAGCTGCTAATCTCAGTAGTTTTTTAATAAGACTTGCCTTTCTCAGGGACAATACCAGGAATTAAGAACAAACTTTCCCAATTATTCAGTCTCACAAGTTATTCTGTTTGGAGGGAGGCAGTTAGGGTTTAGGACAGGTAACTGGACCAAGAGAACCTGAGTTGTATTCTAGGTTCTGCTACTGATTTGCTGTTTGACCTTGAGCAAGTCCCTTTCTCTGTGTCTCAATTTCTCCTCCCACAAAACATGCATTTTGTAGGATAAATATAAAATAAAACAAATTAAAGTTAGCTTAAGATTGGTTAAAAAACAACAACATATTTTCTTTATAGTTTGTGGCTAGTAGGGAAAAGGCCCCAGTAGCAAGTAAAAGAAGGCTATGAAAATAATTAGTATTACTTGTAGTGTGAAAAGGACCTATGGTTCCAAAAGTAACTAATAAAGAGCTGCAGTAACAAAAACAAAAAAAAACTGTCTTTAAAAAAACCAAAACAAGCCCAAACCTTCCCACTGTTCTGCTGGTAAGCAAGGCGCGGCAGAGAAAATAAAAATGAAAGGAAAAAAGGAGACTGTAAATCTTACCTAATTTAAAACTGAAAATGAGGGTAAATTGTCTCAATTGGCTTTTAGCTAAAGTCGGTAATTGGCAATGACCGTCATTTGTTTGTGAAAGGGTATAAAAAGTAAATTCTTAAAGGGTTCATTGCTAATATCTGCCTGACCACGTTGAAGTCAACCAATATGGGTCTAAGCAGCCCTGGGATTAGCTCGCTTGTAAGCATCTTAATCAAATGCTTAATGTATTGTTACTTTTTGGATGTAGTAAATTGCTTATTATTTAGGATTTTTAGGCATGTTTAAAGCAATTGTATAAATATCATTTGGCCTCAACAGGAGGTGCTATTGTATAACTCATGGAAAAAGATAACTCATGCTGTTTATGTGCTCTCTCCCTCACAGTGATAACCAGTGTAACACAAAATTCACTGTTAATATTCAGACTATATTAGAAAAGGAGTCTTCTAGAGCAGGGGTCGGCAACCTTTGGCATGCAGCCCGTCAGGGTAATCCGCTGGCAGGCTGCGAGACATTTTGTTTACATTGACCGTCCACTGGCACGGCCCCCCAGCATCTCCAAGTGGCTGCGGTTTGCTGTTCCCGGCCAATGGGAGCTGCGGGAAGTGGCAGGCAGCAGGGATGTGCTGGCTGCCGCCTCCCGCAGCTCCCACTGGCCAGGAATGGCAAACGGCAGCCACTGGGAGCTGCATGGGGCCGTGCCTGCGGACGGTCAATGTAAACAAAATGTCTTGCGGCCCGCCAGCGGATTACCCTGATGGGCCCCATGCCAAAGGTTGCCGACCCCTGCTCTAGAATTTATGTAGTATAATAATTACTAAAACCAGTTCCCAGTTTTTCTTTAGACCCACCTGGTTCTAGGAAGCATATCAGTCCTACATGAGAGATAATACACCAGTAATAACCACTCCACCCACCCACTTCTTGTGTTTATGGGGCATTAATTATAGTGGAAAAATCAAACACGCTTGTGGACTTGTTTACCTAATGTCTTCCCCGTTCCCAGGGCCAGGCGTATGTAAGGCAGCCTTAGGTGGCTTTTGATTCGTTCAGTCAAGGCTGACAGGGAGACTGGCTCGCTCAGCGTGCATAGGCGTCCCATTCCAGTATGTGGAAGCAGAGGCTGCGTAGAAGTAGAAGTTTTAAAAAATTACTGTGAATGTGCTCACTGCAGCTGTTCACATCACCTTTTACTCTAACAGGAACTGACATCTAGACACCACAATGCTGAGTACAGGAGGAATAATTAAACATAGAAAGTCAGTTTCTGAGTGCTTTGCAAAAGAAAGATACATATGATATTCCAAAGGACTAGGTAACACATTGGCCACATCTACACTAAATACTGGTTGAAGTGCTACTGTAGGTCACAGAAAACCACTTTCACAGATATAGAAAGTGTAAATGCTTTCAAGTCCCTCAAGGTCAGTGTTAAGGCAAACTGATAGAGGCATCTCAAGGAAACTTGCATTGCTGCTGCTAGTGCTGTTTCTGGTCTGCGAGTAGAGGATTTCTGTTTCCAGGGCTATCAGCCTGGTGCCTTTCACAAGCAATAACTTAACGGAAAGAGAAAGTGGTATGTGAATTCTGTTACCTTCTGTAATAACATTATTTCAGTCTTGTGATAAAGGGTGTTCCGTGACAATAATGCCACCACCTCCAGCAGCGCCTTCTGGGTACAGTTCAAACTGACTCGTGTCTGCTCCTCACCTTCAGCCCTGAGAAACAACAGCATTTTTGGTGTTTACTAAGAAAAAAGAATTTCATAATCTGTGATAGAAAGGATAGTTATTCCATTAACTAGAAGAGAAAAAAGGAGACATGGTAACAGCCCAACGCACTACTATAAAAGAAACATACAGCTTAAGGGGAATGAGGGAATTAAGCCATACTGTTCCCATCAAACTGAATGACAAAATTGTTCCTTTCCATCTCTGCAATTGGACTGGTACCTGTAACTTCTTGAGTTACTAGCCATCCTTTAATCCCAGTTTGTACTTAATATTACATTTAGACTTTGTGGAGCAAACTGAACACAATTCTTTCTGCCCAATGAAACACTACAGAAGGGTCACATGTTCTGTTTGATCTCTTAATGCCGTTAGCATCCATGTTTAAAATTTTTTCCACAAAGGTTATTTTCACTGTTCTCACAAAAGCAGATTGGAATTTCAACACTTGGTAATAAAAAGGGCTTCTTTAAAAGGAAAAACCACCCATCTTGCTCGGTCAGTTCTTCTCACTCCAAATAAATTGTGAAATGGATTTGAAAATGAGATTTTTAAGGTTTCCTTATGGCACTAAGACCACTTTTCAGCTTCCACCTGGAGGTAAAGTTCAGTTTCATACAAAAAGCTATTCCCACTACATCCACACACCAGTTGGCCCACGCATTCTGCAGACACATTAACCATCTCCTTATTGAGGTCACTGCACTTAAAGTTAAATAACTTCCCTCATTAAGTCCTGACATAGAAGGCTGTACCTGAGGAAGTCAGATTTATTATCAAATGCATCCAAAAGTCCACCAACTATGAACACAAAAACCAGTGCCTGAAGAATTCCCACAGAAACTGATAATAGTTAAATAATCTCGATCTCCAGTTTAAAGGCCCACTATCCCACAATGGTAAAAACTTTCAATAAGAAGTTATAACATCTTATCCAGACCTTAGATAGTCACCTGTATATTCTTTCCCGTTATTGTAGTTTGTATCTTAAGAAGCACCTTTCCCTTTTCAAAGCAACAGAAGAAGACACCAGAGAGCCATGCACAGTACCTGGCAGGGAGAGTAATGAGAGATGAAATCTCTGGGATCCCTCGCATGCTAGATAGGATTGTCTCCAGGTGCTCAGTATGGTCCACACTGAATTCCACTCGGTGAGTGCCCTCAGTTGGGTAGCTGGGAGCCACTAATGGGTGTAGTGGGACAGTGGTACAGACACCTGAGAAAACAACATGCAGTACAGAAATTTAACAGCTTTGCAAAATTGTACTGGTCCACTCGACCACAGCAGACTTTATTTTTGTGACCGGTGAATAAAATAGCATTATTATTTTCCTTATCATCATCATCACCACTATGGGCAAAGTAGATTTTGTTCTTGGGTTGGTAAATTGCCATAATTATTTTGCAAGGCTGGTTTATGGTCAGACACAAGACAACTTATTTTTATGGTCTACAGTAACCTGTTCAACAGCTTGATGATGATGATGATGATAATAATAATAATAGCATTTCTAGTGCTTTTAATCTAAAGATCTCAAGTGCTTTATAAAGTGGGTAAGCACTATTATCTCCATTTCACAGATGAGGAAACTGAAGCACTGAGATGTGAAGTGACTTGTCCCAGGTCACAAAATGAGTCAATGGCAGAGAAAGAATTGGAACCCACTTCTCCTGACTCCAACAGTGGTCCCCTAAGCCATGCTGTCTCCAATGGACTGAATCTGTTTTAAGTACCTGTAGGCTAATACTAACATATTATTTGCATTGTGTTGTGTTATTGTCTAGGGGCCATTGTGCTAAGTACTGTACAAACACAAAGATGTACTGTACAAACACCTGCCTCAGAAAGCCAACTACCGAAAATATAGTACCAGTGATTCCTGAACCATTTTTCAGTGTAAAGAATACAAATCTAGACGGTTTATCCAGGAGACACTAGAGCACATCCAGTGATCTGTGGCTTAAACTGTTGTAGTCAAGTTACACACCAAATGTGCTCAAATGGTTCTGTTCTCATACACTTAATAACAGAACTATAGAAATTACAGATGGAAAAGACCAATAAGGCTCATCCCCCAGAGGCTGGTGCAGGATTGTTTCTTACAATATATTTTTCTAGTACACCTCTACCTCGATATAACGCTGTCCTCGGGAGCCAAAAAATCTCACTGCGTTATATCGAACTTGCTTTGATCTGCCGGAGTGCACAGCCCCGCCCCCCCCGGAGCACTGCTTTACCGCATTATATCCAAATTCATGTTATATCGGGTCGCATTATATTGGGGTAGAGGTGTACTTTTTCTAGTCTAGTGTTAAATGTCAGCATACTTGCCTCTGGGTACTGGTTGGAGTGCCTTATGGAGACCCATCTGGCCAATTAAATAACACCTATCATTCATGAGCATGTGGAACACTTTGCCTTTTAGTCCCAATCACGTAACCTCTCTGTGATACCTATAGCAATTGCTTACAGTTGCTTGGTAGGAAGGACAGTCTGATGGTCAAGGCACTGAACTAAGACTCAGAAAACCTAGGTTCAGTTCTCACTTCACAGGCTTCCTGCATATTTATAGATTCCAAGGCCAGAAGAGACCACTGAGATCATCTAGTCTCCTACATAACATAGGCCATAGAACCTCCCTTATATAGCTCCTAGTGTGTATCTTTTAGAAAAACATCCAGTCTTGATTTAAAAATTGTTAGTGATGGAGAATCACCTACAACCCGTCATCAATTCTTTCCAATAGTTAATTACTCTTCCTGTGAAAAAAAATGCCCTATTTCCAGTTTGATCTTGGACAAGTGACAATCTGTCCTGGGCCTCAATTCCATAATATTTCCCTATGTCCCAGACATGCTGCAAGGATGAAATCCATCAATGGTTAGGGGTGCTCAGATACCATGTGATGAGGGTCACATAAATAAAAGTATTGAAGAATGTATACATATTTAGCTGACAGTGAAATATACATGTTGTCCTTTTTGGGTATAAAAATAAGTACTTCATCATGATCTCCCATCTTTTCACTAAGGTGGAAACAAGGATGAGATCCAAGATTATGTGATCAGCCAGTGGTCCACAGACTAGTTTGGAAATTCTGCCTTAAATGTTCTCTCTTAGGTCAGAGCTGAGTCATATTTATCATGCAATGTGGGAAAGCTTACTCTGTGGATAAATAAGAGACTTCATTTATTAACTTTGGTTTCTAGAACTATCTGGAACTTTTTACCAACATATGATTATTTAGATTACTTTAAAATTATGACAAAATACACTTTTTAAAAAATAAACTCAAATCATGCATATAAGCACATGGGAAAATTGATAAAGACGTTCCTCATAGACTTACACTGTATTGATAAAGAGTAATTTAAATTGAATATCAGTTAAAAAAGGGGTATCTCACCAAGTCCTTTGGCTAGCCAGTTATTGACTCCATGAGGTATGGCATCATATGCTGTGTGTGGAGAGTAAATGCCAACTCTGTTTTCCAAAGCCCGGATCACAAGACGCTCTTTCCAGGTTTTCCATGTAATGCGCTTGAGTGCTCGGAATATGGGTGGGTGGTAAGAGAGGATAAGATCTGCCTTCTTCTGCAATGCCTCCTGCATTACGTCCTCTGTAAGGTCATTAGTTAGGAAGAGTGTGCTCACAGTATGGGGTGGGCTCGGTTCTACCAGTAGTCCTACATTGTCCCAGCTTTCAGCCAGAGAGAGTGAAGCAAAGTCATTCAAGGAGGAAACTAGAGCTTTTAGATCCATGAAGGAGCGTGAAGGCAAGACAAGCAAAGGTTGGATGCACTGGAGAGGTCGGCGAATCAGGTGCACACAGGACAGCAGCATACATATATCTAAAGAGGCAAAACATAATTAGGGATGTTGGGGGATAGGGAAGAAGTTTAAGATAATTCTGAGTTAAACACCAATATCTGAGCATTCAGACTGGACAATGTCCAACTCAGGTATGAAAACACCTCCACTTGGGCAACACATTCAATATTTTTCAACAGAGCTGGCAATAGAGGTGGTTTTGGAACAAATTGATAAATTAAAGTAGTAAGTCACCAGGGCCAGATGGTATTCACCCAAAAGTTCTGAAGGAACTACTACCTGTAGTATGTAACCTATCGCTTAAATCGGCCTCTGTACCAGATGACTGGAGGATGCCAAGGGCGCAGAGGCAATCCTGGGAATTAGAGGCTGGTAAGCCTAACTGCAGTACCAGGCAAACTGGTGAAACTGTAGTAAAGAACAGAATTAACAGACACATAGATGAACATGATATGTTGGGGACAAGTCAACATGGCTTTTCATCAGACTGTAACTGCAACAAGAACTGCTAGCCACAGGGGGAAAGAAAATGTGCCATTCTTTGCTCTCCAACACTGATGAACGCTGCATGTGAGATAGAGGCAGACGCTAATAAAACTCTTACAGAAGCAACCAGGGCTGACTTTAAACATATGCAACACAAGAGAACTTGGGATCCTGAGCTTTTGTGGTCTTGTGCAGACTTAAATAGCAAGTCATGGGCCAAACAATCCTTCTCTCAGCTCAGTGTCTTTGAAAATCTTAAGGCTGACTTTGCAAACCCCATCATAAAGATAGACTTTTACTTCATCTTCTAGTGCTGGCACTTGTCTTCCTTTCTCTACTTTCACACTCCTTTAACACGGGGGTTAGCAGCACAATGGTACCCTGCTGAACTACTATTTCAGGCTCTCTGCAGTCTGGGGAAGATGGGGCAGGCTCGGCCATGTTCCCATGGTTTTACTGCACACCCATAAGGACTAGAAAAGCTAACTGATCTAGCAACACTGGTTAGGTAGGACAAGCTGTGACTATGCCACCATAGGGAAGCCACTGGCAGGTCTGGGGAGCCAGGGTTTCTATAGGGAGCAGAGTCAGGGAAGACGCTATGGCAGAGTGTGTGGGCTCCGCCCCTGCCCCCAGGCGAGGGCTCCTGCTCGGGCCAGTTTGTTCAGTTTGCAGCCCAGGTGCCACGGGGAAGGGCGCTATGACCTCCGGCGCCAGCCCGGCCGCGCTGGGGCAGCGTCTGCGCCTCTGTCCGGGAGCGGGCGCCTCAGGCAGCGCGTCGCCTGCCACTGCCAGGCAGGGCAGCCCCCGAGATCCGGCCCGGCAGCCCCCGCCGTGGGGCAGCGGGACCCACCTACCTCGGCCCGGCTGAGACGGGCGGCGCCTCACTGAACAGCGTCCCCGCCCTGGTCCGCCTGGGAAGCGGCCCCTTCCGCTGTGCCGGCGGGGCCTGCTCCGAGCGCGGGAAGCAGGTGAGCGGGCGGCTGCAGCGCTCGGGGGCTGGGCTGGGCCCCTCCTTGCTGCCGGGGCAGCCGGGCCGGAGGCCCCAGTTCCCCTGCAGCGGCCGAGCGGCGGGGCCTGCGAGCCTCGGCGGGCACGGGACGGGAGGCGCTGGGGCGCAGCCCCGTAGAGCCTCGTTAAGGGCTTGGCCCCCCTGCCCAGCCCTCGCTCTCAGGCTGAGCCGCTTTGTCTTTGGACCCCGTAGTACTAGTCAGCCCTGTCTGAGGCGGGAGCGGGCTGGTCCCTTCCTCCATTTTCTAACCATGCCTTGTGATGGGTGGTTGCTCTCAAAAGTCCTGATGGACCATAACAGACCCCGGGTAGCTCGATATCAGACTTCATGCTGAGGGGCTAACGGGAATTGATCCCTGAACATTACGTTGGTAGTTACTTGGGTGCAAGTGATCACAGCCGAATTTCGTTTATGTGCGATCAATATTGTCCTGACCACTAGAAATAGCTATTTACTATACTGGGTGCTTTAAAAGGGCCACTTTCCGAAAGCTGAAAGCAACTATGAGCATAATTGAGTGTGGGAGGGAAAATGTAACCTTAAAAATGTGAAAGGTAATAGAGAGTTGTTTAAGAATGTTTTATCTGATGCCCAAATAAACCACAATTCCATAGTCACATAAGCGGCTAAGAGGACAAATACAATCCTGGAATATATGAGCTGGGGAATGTCATATGTAGGGAGGTTGTATTATGTCTGTACATTAGTGAGACTGTTGGCCACTCTTCAAAAAGGATGCAGAAAAATTGGAAAGTATTTAGAAAAAAAGCTAGGAGAATGATTAGAGGTCTGGAAAACCTTCCTTATGCAGAGGTACTCAGGAAATCATCTGTAGTTTGTTGAAGAAAAGGTTAAGAAGTGAATTGCTCACAAGTTCACAAGTGCCTGTATGAGAAGATTTCTTATAGTGAACAGCCCTTTAAACTAGCAGAAAAAGACATCATGAGATCTAAGAGTTGGAAGCTGCAGCTAGACAGATTCAGACTAGAAAGCAGACACACATTTTTAACAGTGACTAATTAAAATTGTTCCAATGGTTTTCTAGAAATGTGGTGGGTTCTCTATTGTTTTCAGTCTTTAAGTTAAGACTAAATCTCTGTTTCACTAAAAGTTATGCTCTAGCTCAAACAGAAGTTATGGGATTGATGGGAATTATTGAGAGACATTCTTTGGCCTGTATTATGCAGGAGGGCAGACTAGACTAGAGGGAGATCATCATGGTCCCTTTTGGCTTTAAAAATCTTTAGAGAGAAGATTCATATTGAACAGTTGCAATCTCTGCAGACTCTCATCATATGGAAGTTTTTTTCTATATATTGATTTGTTTATAAAAATACTTTGTTCTATTAATTTCTAGCTCTCTAAGTGGTGGGTAGTTATGTAATATACATAAAGTGCTTATGAACAGGTTGATATGAACACTACTGTAAAAATCCATGGTGCAACCACTTGTTTACTTTAATTGACAACCTAAAAGATTTTAGAATTTTCAAAGGAGGTGGTGAAGAAAAACTAAATTAAACATGTTTTCTTTGCAGGAAACCATCTGACCTGTCTGCATTGGGCTCCTGACAAAAAGACATGGTGAGACAGGCAGTTTTTAGATATATTTTTAAATTTTGTGAATCTAGTATTGAGAACTGGACAGCAGCTCTGTATCCCAAATAATCCCACAATTTAGTTTATTGTAAAGAACTTGTGATGTAAAGCTCAGCTACACATTTAATTGATTTCTGTCCAGTGGGCCGTGGAAAAGGGAATATGTCAGTTTTACTATTTCATGACATTAGGTAGTGCATTAGCTTTCTACTGCTAGAGCACTAAATTCAAATTCTGGTTTGGATAATGATTTTGGTCATCTCATTTGGTCTCTGTTCCCACATAAAAATGTGTTAAGGGTGTAAATACATATCTGTGGTCTGAGTACATACCTTTTAAGAATGTTAGAGTTTAAAAAATGAAAAAAATTGAAATCCAAGAAATGAAGTGTAAGGTTGTATTTCTCAAACAAGATAGATACACAAACTTCTTTTATTGTGGCTCCATAGAGATCCCAGCCAATTGTCTTCCCTTCTTTCTATGTCAAGTATGGAAAACATGCACCACAGAACATTGGTTTTGTAATTTTTTCTGTACATGTATGTCTCTACTAGTAAGTGTGATGCTTTGTCACCACATTAATATAGTTCTTTCAATGTAAGTGCTGTGATTTTGTGATCTGGGTGAAGAGAGGAAGCGTTGTGTGTAACACTTGGATAACTGGCACACCCATCTGTCTGAAAACTGATGTATCCCATTGCTTATTTTCAAAACCCCAATCAACATTCCCTCTCATATACACAAAATACATTGTGAATAATCCAGAGCACAGACTGACTCATGTGAGTGACACTCATTTTTTCCCCCTTTCAACTGAATACTTCACATCATTTACTAATCCTTGAGAAGAAAATTGCGCTTTTCAGCCACCAACTTTCTGAGGGAGGACTATATAGGACACTTTTGCAGTCCATCCGTGCTAACTCAACCAGAAAGATTGCAAGTCAGTGACATGAGGCACTTGTTCCTTCTACTATAGACTGACTGAGTGCATGTACTACCATCTCATGGAATGAAACTGGGAGGAACTTGGGTCTCCAGCATGGCTGTGCCAAGATATGACTGACTAGGCTATTTTTTCTGTCATCTTTGAGCTGAGTGTGTTGGTCTGGTTCACAGAGATGGAAAAAATATATGCAGCTGAGCTTTGTTATTACTCTGAAGAATACCTTGTTAGTTCTTTTTAATTACGGGCCTTATACACATGAAGTCCAATCTCTTCCTGTTGACTTCCCTGGGGATGTGAGCAGGTCCATGGGACACAGTCTCTCTCCTCAGAGTGATACTTGGCGACAGCACAAGAAAAGCTCTGAGCATTAATCTTTTATACTTGTTCCCAATTTTACTGACAACTTTTTTTTAAACTAACTTCTGGATGCAGTTCAGCTTTTTTGTGTCTGAGATCCCATGCATACTGGCTCAGGGAATTCACTTAATTTAGGAACAAATCCAGATTTTGGTCTCCATCTTAACTTCACGTACACAGACAGTTAGCTGGAAATGGAAATGCATTTATATTCCCAGGGTGACTAGTGAATAGAGCAGAGTTAGTAGCTCTCAGTCTTTGATTTTGAGTCAAAATTCTGGTTTAATTTTTTTTCCTTCACCCTCAGGCTGTCACACTGCACACTGATGTGGGAGATATTAAAATAGAGATATTCTGTGAGCGAACACCTAAGGCCTGTGAAGTGAGTAATATGACAAGACTGGGACTGTTTAGTATTGAGAGGAGACAAATAAGATGGGACATGATAGAAACAAAATAATGAATGGCATAGAGAGAGTAAATTTGGGATGTTGCCATTTATCCTTTTGCATCATATGAGAACATTCAGTGAATGCGAAAAGGAACAAATATAAAACTTATACCGTGAGAACTTTTCATACAGTGCATAATTAACCTGTGGAATTCATTGCCATAAG